GCCTCCCTTGTGTGATGTGTAAATCTCGGAGAAACTTGGGGGTGTAAATACCAAAAATGGAATGCAAGCCTTCTGCTGAGTCCTCGCAACTGAACTAAGTTGAGAAGCGTCCTCGAATGACTGCCATCGTTGCGAAAGCTCTCGCTTCTGCGGACAATAACACTTACACGTCCTCTTCTCTCTCTAGCTTTCTCTTTCAAACAAACCTTCTCCAATTTAAACCTACAATTTCTATGTTCATCACGCATTTCCGCCTGTAAATTGCAATTTCTTAGCTTCGTTTAAAAATTTTAGCTGCAATATTAGCGCTTCTCCGAATTGCGGAGGTGGAGGATGCGGTTACTACTGCGAAAGCCTGAAATAACGAAAGTTAGTGATAGAATTACTGGAAATGGATCATTACGGAGTAGGCAAGGGTTTAAGACTTGTAATAGAAGCATTGTGACCAGCTGTAGAGCGGTGTTGTTGCCGCGATTCGGCGGTCCCGATGTTCTCGAGCTCCGTGATAATGTTAATGTTCCTGATTTGAAGCCTAATGAGGTTCTCGTCCGCGCTCGCGCCGTCTCTATTAATCCGCTCGACACTCGAGTGAGTATATGAATTGCGACTATCAGTGTTAAAGCTTGAATTGCTTACGCCTTTTCATCAGTTTATTTTTTCTGGAGGCTGAATGTTAATTTATCCTTTAAGCACTGTTTTGTTGTCTGGATCGTGAGAAAAAGATGGTGTGTTTTATACACGTATAGGTATATGAAATTTTGTGCATGTAAGATGACGCGCTTTACTAGTCAGGAATTTCGCGTCTGTGGATAATAATGTGAAGGGCTGTATTACGTGTCCTGTTATGGATTTGGAGGACGCTAAAACGATAGTAGATTGAAAGAGTCGCAATGTCATTCAGAAAGAAAAGAGGGGGGCGGGGGGGAGGAACTGTAGCTTACAGCATCTGGCTGGGTTGAATATCATTGAATAGACAAAAGAACTCATAGAGACGAACTTCATTAAGATTTTGAAATTTCATGGATGGGTCTATTAATGAGAAAAAAAAAACAGATTCTTGCAGTTAAATGGTCAAAAATTTCAAAGAACTGGAGCAAAAGATATTTGTCAACACTCTGGATCTGGCATGCCACGAATATTACCATGACAACAATGCAATGATGGCTGGAATCACACTTCATCTGATAAGCTTGAGATTGGCATTTTAGGCTTTTTGGTGATTTAGATTGCGTTTTGGACGAACTTGATTGTTTATGTCATAAATGTAATTAGATTATGAATGAAGAAAGACAAATGATACAACATCGAAATTTATCTATTTATTTACCTGCACAAAGATCAGTCGGACTTTGTAGCCCGTTGCCAAGTCATGACTCCCTCAAAGATGCTTTTAGAGTGCATATTATCTTTCGTGCTGATTTGTTCGGGTGAAAATTTGTTGTTTAAAAGGTTAAGTGACTGGTTACAGGAAGATATCCACTACAAGTTGTTTATTCTCAAAATCATCTAATAAACATTGATGTTCTGATTTCTGCTCTAAAGACATCTGCAATCTCGCCTCAACATATGTTGGGGAAGTTTTATGTAAATCCTTGCATGGTTTAATTCATCTAAGATGTGGATGTATTTTGGAGCAACTTTTCTTAATAGCCATGTTTCCTCTGATTCATTCATAGGTTAAACAAGAAATTTTACTCTCTCAGAATCTTCTATTTTTCAGATGCGAGCAGGCTATGGTCGTTCAATTTTTGAGCCACTCATGCCCTTGATTTTGGGCCGTGATATTAGTGGTGAAGTTGCAGCTATAGGAAACTCTGTACGCTCCCTCGGAATTGGGCAGGAAGTGTTTGGTGCGTTGCACCCAACCGCTGTTAGGGGTACTTACACTGACTATGCCATTCTTGCAGAAGATGAACTTGCGCCAAAACCAGCTCCTATTTCACATGTGGTATGTCTTGTCTTTTTGTCTGTTTAGTATGCTACTTAATCCATTGATGGAAATCTCTTTGTTCCTTTAAGCACTCTGATCTATGTGCTCAAACAACAAAATGATGCATATCTTTCAGCTACCATGTGTGCTTTCTTTTTTTCTCTTTGAATTTCCTGAGAGCTTATATAGTTTTTGATAATTGACTATTGCTCCAATCTAATTGGGCTTCATCCAGCTTTTCATTTCTTTTATTTTTCCCCCATTTGATCCCATCCTAATTGCCTTCTGTTGTGATGTTTATATTCATATTTTTTGTTTCTTAGCAGAAAGTATTCATACTCTTTTAATATCCCACAGGAAGCAAGTGCAATTCCTTTTGCAGCTCTGACTGCCTGGCGTGCATTGAAGAGTACAGCCAGAATTGCACAGGGGTAATTATTTTTCTTTAGACTCTAAGGCAGCAGCCATTAATTTTGGAGTGGGATGTCAGGTCATTCTCTGATGATTTTTTACTTGTGTATGCCCAAGTTGCCAATGAATTTTAAGCTCTTAACTGGTCCCTGTGATTGTATTAATGATGTAATAATCATCTTCTTTTTGTCTACATACTTCATTCCACTTAAAAGCAAATAATCATTGTTTGAAATTGAATAAAGCTTAAATCATAAGAAAACTAGCCACTAAATGTTCCTTAAAATTTTTGTAATACTATATACCTGCATGACTTGCTTTCTTGTACCAAATCTTTTAGGCAAAGAGTACTAGTGGTGGGTGGAGGGGGTGCAGTTGGTCTTTCCGCTATTCAGCTCGCAGTAGCTGCTGGCTGCCATGTTTCAACCACTTGTGGAGGTGAAAGTATTGATCGTGTTCTGGCAGCTGGTGCTGAGGATGCTGTTGACTATAACATGGAGGTGATGATGTCAATTACATTATGTATATTTCGTCAATCTCTACTTTGAATGTATTTTTCTGATGGGCTAGAGTATTTGCACAATTCCTTATGTAAATTGAGATATTTTGGTGGTTTCAGGATCTTGAAGTAGCAATGAAAGGCTATTTTGATGCTGTTCTGGACACAATTGGTCTGCCTGAGACTGAAAGAATAGGGATAAATCTTCTAAAGAGGGGAGGACATTACATGACACTGCAGGTATTAGATTTATGATACTTTAGTTGTCCTTTGTTTTCCTTAGACAAAAAAATTTTTCTTTCTTTTCTAATTGATTTTGGACATAATGATATTGAAGTTTTTATTTTTTATCTGCATAGGGGGAAGCTGCATCACTAACTGATAGGTATGGATTGGCTATTGGCCTCCCATTGGCAACAGGAATTTTGTTAAAGAAACAAATACAGTATCGATATTCTCATGGAATAGGTAATGTTTTCCAATAGATAAGAATCTGTGTTGAAGATATTATTGCTCAAATTGAAGTACAGCAAGATATATGTATTAATTTTGCTTGCTGACTTGAAATTTTTTCTAGCATAATTATGTGTGGGTTTACATTATAATGCTGTGTCAATTTTTGAGCCTAAGCACAATATCTATCAATTTGTGTGCCTGAGCATCACCTTATATTCAGTTAGTTCTTATTCACCTTGTATCAGGGAAACCAGAGTATGGCTGTTTCTTTTCTACTAAGAACTTCTTTGATGAGTATGACAAAAGGCCTAAGAAGCAGGGTGCCATCAGAAAGTTTTAGAATATCTAGTGATAGATTTCTGCATTTTCTGGAAGAGTTACTCCATATCACCTGTTGTTCGTTTGGGCATGAAACTCTTTGATCAATGTGTGCCAACTTTCATGAATTGTTTTCTAGAAACCACTTTGAGTTTGAGAAGAACTTCTCATCTACTTGTGGTGAGATGGTTATATCTCAAATGGACGGTGAGGATGAAAATCATCTTTCATGCCAGACTTCTTGGTTTTGGAAGACACTCAATTTCCTAGAAGTGTGTTACACCACATCAGTAGAGGGAAAACTGGGATTCTCATGGTAAAGAGTTCATATATGTGCTCGATATCCCATTGCACAAGGTTCCTAAAATATGTGCACTTGGGATTTTGTCGATGGATGAAGTGCAGCTTCCTATTATATGATGCTTGGGTTTCTGACTGATGCTTCCCATATGATAATGAATTTGATGATCATTTGGAATTTCATAGCATTAACCTGTACGTCTTTCTTTGGTAGTTTAGATAAAACTACTTTGTGTCATTGGAACTAACGTTCCCTAGAATTCAATTTCCAGATAACCATTTGCGGTTACTTGACCAATTCTTTGGTATGATATGGTACAGAATACTGGTGGACTTACATGAGGGCTGATGCTGAAGGTTTAGAGGAAATCCGCAGGCTATCTGAGGCTGGAAGGTTGAAAATACCAGTTGAAAAAACGTTTTCCATCACACAGGTTAGAGAGGCCCATCAAGCAAAGGATAGAAAAGGGCATGTTCCTGGTAAAATTGTGCTGGAGCTTGAAAAATGAAAGGCCTGCAGAAACTGAGAGTGAGTCTACCCGACTTAATTGCTCTTGCTGTTATGTGACAGGAAGATATGATTCGAAGATTGTTGTTCAGAAATGCAAGTGTGCATATGCTATATACGACATTGTGAATGGTCATCCGAAGGCATATGTAGATAATTGGGATGTTCTTAATTTTGTAGTTGTTTAGGCGAAACTAATAAGTAGGCATGCGATTGGGTTGCTAAGTTCGTCATTTACTTGAGAGCTTAATTTTTATTTCGCTAAACTCCAAGTTGTCAATTTGCCCAAGCTCGAACGGGCACCTTCAGCTTCTAAGAAGAAAAAACTCGGGTCTTTGGGATAAAAGAGTTTCACAAGCATCACTTTTAACATTGGTGAATCAAAAATCCATTGACTAATTTTTCTTGCTTTCAAGTTTTAAACTCACTTGGCAATGCCCACTCCCACGTATCATTGGAAGTACATAAGCCAAGGAGAGTGCTTGTGTTATATGATTAAAGGAAAGGCACTGCAATGTCGCTGTGTGAATTTAACAAACAGAAAAAAATTGCATGCCGGACGGACGTTCACCCAAGTATGCTCGGTAGCCATCTGAACAAAATCAATTCAGCTTAGAAACCAGCTTCACAGATTGAAAGCTCGAGTACGGAGGGCAAGCATCAGCGAATTACTAGCAAAAGCTTCTCCTATCTCACCAAAATGTAGTGAAAAGTTTTCACTTTCACACCATAGTAATTGCTAGGAAAATACGCTTATCAGTTGCACGCAGAGGGCAACTTGTAAAATACCGCTTTCAAAGAGCATGTTTCTTTGGGCGGCAACATTTGTGGGTCAATTGTATCCAATTGTGCCTAAGTCAGTGCATGAACTCTCCTGTGTTGCTTGCTTGAGTCTGCTTTCCGATCTGTAAGCAGTTGTCTGAGCATTCCAGAACATGCTGCATCTTTTGGCAGCCAGCTCCACCTCTTCCAATTTGCGCTGCAAATTTCCAACTTCTTCCACCTTATTCTTTAGAGTTTCAACTTCTTTCGCTAGTTCTTGGTTCTTTTGCTGTATCGCCTAATCAAAAAAAATTACCGAGTTAATTGCCATTGACTCAAATTTCCGGGAGAAAGAGCTGAAAAGTGACCGTCCTTGGCAAGTGATGCGAGGATTAGACACAAGAATTAAAAGACATCACCTCCATTTCTTGCTTCCTCTTTTCCTCCTTCCTAGCCTCTGCTCTTGAACTTCTTTGCACCTCATAGACTAAAGCAAGTCCTGCTACCTAATAAACGAACTTCAAAATTGTGATAACAGTCCGGTGAAAGACACTAATGAACAATGCCTGGGATTTTTTGGGATCTTATCTTACCAAGTTACGACTACAAACTATCAATCTATTAGCCATCTCATCAAGAGCATGATCAAATTGCGATTGCAGAACTTACTGCGAAAACGAAGAGTTCTCCAAGAATATCTGCGGCTGCTTGTACAGCCCTCTCCTCGTTCAGCGGGCGGATCAGAAGATCTGATGAATATCCATAAATTAGACCTGAGCAATGTTGATGATGAAATCACGAAATTTGGGGTGCAAACCGGCATCTTTCTTGAGCCTATTAGCGATTGGCTTTGAGATGGTCCTCAGAGCAAGCGTTCCAAGCTTAATAACTGGTATGATCATTATTGTTGTTTTGTTAACTGTCCCCAGTTTTGCTTTACTCTACTCAAATTTCTACGCCGCAAATCATTTGATCACATGTTCAACTGTTGTGTGCAACTTCCGATGATATTTAGCTCAAATTTTGGATTGAGATAAAAGAGCAACAAAAAAAAAAAGTTTCATGAGGAAGAAGAATGGCACAGCGCAGCACAATACTCAGGCCTCTATGCCTCTGCGTTATCGTCTATTTCATCAATGTCATTATTTTCGCCCCCCCCCCCCACCCCACCCCACCCTCACGCAGCCCAACCCACACATAGAAAAATGCTACTGGACTGGGCCTAACAATAATAATTGTAATAAATAAACTTGAGAATATGTTTTCGGGTCTTTAAAACTGGGGCCCTGAACCATAATTCGAATGGAGCTAATCTTAAACAAGTGTTGTCCGAAGTTTTTCTCAAAAGAGCAGATAGCCAAAAAAGTTTCAACTTAACTTTGAACTTTTGTTCAAATGCCAATATGCATTGAGAGGCACTGACTAAGACTTTGTTCTCGGTTGCTTTAGTGATCGGTAAATAATTATTAAAAATAATTGGAATGTGTAAAAATTACTATTTTGATGATTGTAGATTTTAACTTTTGTAGTGATTCAAAAATCTATAATCAAAATACAGAAGCAGCCGAGATCATCATAAAAATTTGGTAACTAGAATCAGAATCTAAAACTAGTTAAAATAATCAACCAAAAACAAGCCGTAATTGACCAGGCAGGTCTCCAATTTGACTTTGAAACCCTTCATTTATCTCTTATAATGCTTCAAGTCCCTCTCCTTGCACCAAAAGGGAAAAAAAAAAAAAAAAAAAAAAAGATTTTGGCTCTATTAGTTTAGTGCCAAGAGCCCAATTTGCTTGCATGAGCATTCCAAGGAGCAATGGGCCTGAGTCTACATGTTGAGTTAGCAAAGGAATCGGCCTGGCGATGAAGTGTTGGGCATGGAAATAGGCTGAGAATTGCTGAAGCCCTCTCTTTTGCAGTTGCTGCCAATTGGTCCTTATTCTCCATCAAGAGTCATTTCTAATCTTTAATGAAGCAAAATCGTTTAGTGGTGTGAGGACTACCTGATCCTTTTTTCCATGTGGGGTGGAATTGATCACTCACTTAACTAATTAAAGTGGAATAAAACACCCTTTTCACTTACACTTGGGCTTTCTTTATTATTATTATTTGGTCACAACAAATTTCTATAGCCTAATCTATTTTAATTTTAAAAAAAAAAGAAGAGCCGATGAAAGTAAAAATTCCGTGAAAGAAAGTCACTGAAGATAATAAGAACATATAATGACAAATCGATGGATAATAATGTTTGAATCTTTTGACATCCCATCAAAACTTAAGTAAGTGTTTGGCAGTGACCACGAGGCGAGATGGCTGCTTTGTCCTGGTGGCAGTTGGGCTTTCCTTACAGAGAACCAAAAATGGCCTTTGCTGTCTACCACTCCTCATTAGCAGTACTTACCCGCTTAACAAAAAGTAGGAACTTTTGGTCCATTACTTTGCCCCCTTACTTAATTCATAACTGGTCTTGTCATCTTTCCGTGGTCTTGGTCAAAAGCCCTTTTCTTCAAGGGACACTTGTCCCACATTATTATTTCGGTCATCATTTCACTTAGAAGTTTGAACCCATCACGTTTTACCCTCTTCTTAACCATTGTTGCTTCATTTGCCATCTGCCAGTGCTAAAAAGTAACCTCTAGCTTAAAAAGTAATAGACCAACTAATAAGCTAATGCCACGTCAGATCAACTTTTCAAAATGATTGTTGACGTGGGCAAGTGCTATTGGTTCAAGTTTGACAAGCAGAGTTGGGCACAGACGTAGAGGATGATGATGGCGCTCGCTTTCTCTACCTCACGCGCTCATGCCCGCGCAGCTATCCATGCCGTGCGTGAAGGGTGAAGCAAACTAGCAGAGCAACAGATCCCTTCTGCCAACGACGCATTTGGTCTTGGACACATCCTCAGACCAATTCTCCGGTCAAGCGCGTGTCAAATATTTAATTCGCGTAATGCCATATTAACTCGTGTTTAATAGTCAAGGTCCTCAAGGAAGGAGTAGTAATTATTAAACCGTTGCCGCGATTGTTTCGCACGTGACATCAGTCGAGTGAGTCCAGGAAGTCATGGTCTATGATTTGGTAAAACATTTTAGCTTAATGCAGCTTCTTTCTTCCCAACAGGACTGCAGTCACGTGCACCCTTGGATTCTTTCCTCTTTCGACCTCGTCCCCATCGACCAGCCCATGTGATTTGACTTCCAAATTACCCTTTTATTTAGGGCATAATACCAAAAATGCCATTCATCGCGTGAAGACCAGGAGAATCAGAGGAGGAATGGATGAACTCCCCAAACACACACAATTCTGCTACTAAATTACTATAGTAGTACATTCAAGGAAAGGATGGATCATGGATGGTGGTGTTGATTGACATTCCCAAGAGAGCAGCCGGTTCAGTCGTGAGTGACGAGAGGCCATTATCATCTTTTTGTTGTTTTCGTCCTGTTGCTAATTGTCCATACGAGAGACTACCTGGCCACGTTCATGGAGGATTTTGCATCACATTCCACTTATCTTACCAGTTGAGTAACATTTAGGCTGCTCCTTGCTCCTTTTGCAAAGTGCCTCCATGATCTTGTCACTCCCTCAACTTGCTTCTCCATCATCATCATAATCATCTATTGATCATTGCTCAACTATTCTGTGGACTATGTTGGCTTTACCAATTGACTACACTACTGTATTGGACGATGACCTAAGAAACCAAGGAGGCCTTTAATCAATGATTAGGTAATACTTAACTTCAAGTTTCAATTTTTGGTCATAAAGTAATGGGTTCGGTATATTTTGTTGAATTTATTTCACATCGATCACGAAATGAATAGGATAAACCTGATTATAAATGTGAAAAAAGTCTCACCACCGATCTTTTAATGAACCTTTTGAAATAAGAAGGCTTGACCAACAGCACCCAATAATACTACTGGTATCAGAATCCGATTATGACAAATCATCCCAATAGACAATTAAATGATCTTATACTCCTTCCAATAGACACTTTATTAATATTGCTTGCCCGTCCGATGAATCAACCTAGGTCCCAATGTGTAAGAGGAATATTGTCGAATTTATCCCGTAGCTGTGAAAGGGGCGGAATGCCTTATCTTTTGAGCTAAATTTTGAGGCGAAAAGGCCAATGGCACCCGACATATTTTTTCATAACATGAAAATTTATCCAGTGTTTGGCCAAAAATGCACAGACTCGTGAGTTTTGAAATATACCTTAGTGTCATTTTTTCTTCAGTGTAGCAAAATGCACGAGAGGGTCTCAAAATGGAGAAACATGTAAGCCGCAAATAATAAAAAACTTTGCGCAATCTTGCCACTTCTGTAGTTAACGCAGATGATAATGGAGCTTTACATGAAACCATTTGAGTGAACAGCAATTGAAGATTCTCATGCATATAATGATACCAAGAATGCAATAATATTATTATTATTGATAGCAGAGATAACTGATAGTCTTTGCAATTTTGCATCACATGCTTTGTTATTGTATGCTTTGTGACTTGTCAGCATGTATGTATGCATCTTCAGAAAGCTCCTTCCCTCCTGCACTGCCCATTCGCCCCCTCAACCCTCAGATTTTAGTAGTAGAACTTAGAGGGGAAGACTGGCAACCGAATTTATGAGTTGGTTGAAGGGCATCCATCACTCGCTCCATTACATTTTTGTGATGAAACCCGAATGCCCCTTAAAAGGCTCCTTAACGTAATCTTTACTTTTTAGCTATAAGACAAAGAGAGCATATCGGCATCCTCATCAACAGCCTATCCTGTTCTGTTCTATTCTATTCTTTCTCATTACTCTTTCTCTCGTTCACTCACTCTGATAGATTTTCATGTGTCTATCTATCACGAGTCTGTTTCCAACCTTTCACTTCACTATGCAGTCCACTACAACGCGCACGAATTCACAGTCTTCCTCACATCGCTTCTCTGCCTGCTGCTGTGTACTTCTGCCATCCCACCATTAAAATCCCACGCAGCTTTAATCACTTTCATTCACAGTTTCATGCCCCCCGAGACAGCACGAAAACTCTACCTCCTTGCCCCCACCCCCAGCTGCATGATAGATCGGTAAAACCGTAAAAAAAAGAAAAAAAAAAAAAATTTAACACCCGAAGAAATGGAGCTAGATAGACCCCATCATAGAACAACTCCAGGCACAGCTAGCACAAGCAGTGAGCTCTTCGTCTGCTTCACATCTCGCCTTTCTGCTTCATCTTCAATGAAAATAGCCAAATCTATTCTAAGCCCAGGTCGGGCTCGTGACCCTCCAATTTCTCTGCCTACATCTCTCAGCAGGAGACTCAGGACTAATGGAAGCATCAAGGGAGGCCAAGCTTCTCCAATGTTCCCCACGGGAGGGAAAAAAAGAGGCTGCGCATTCGAAAACCCGGAACCTTCTTCCCCAAAGGTCACTTGCATTGGGCAGGTGCGAGTTAAGACCAAGAAGAAAGTAAAGCAAACGAGAAGTTTGTCAAGGAGGCGAAGTGCTGGGGAGGCGAGTTTTAGGAAAGTAGAGCAATTGTCGAACGATGACTTGAAAATTAGTGGTGAAGAATTAGGTGCTTGTAATAGGACTCAGCAACAACAGAGGTATGCACCACCGGCGAACTCGAGCTCCCATTTTCAGCAGCAAGAATGTCTACCACAGAGGAATCAGAGGTGGGTGCATTTGCCTGTGACGATTTGTGAGGGCTTAAGGGCATTTGGAGCTGAATTTAGCTGCTTGTTTCCTTGCCGGTCATCTTGTTTTTCGACAAATGACAGGGAGAAAGAAGAGAAGGCTGGAAACATTGGGCAGGGAGGGCACGGGGAAGAGGGGAATAATGGTAATGATAATAGTGGGCAGAGTTCATGTGGGGCTGTTTTCGCCAGATGGTTTGTTGCATTGCAGGATTGCGAGGGTGGGAAAAGTAGGGAAATAGAGTTGGTTGTAGGTGGTGGAGATGAGGAGGTCGGAACCGAGGCGAGGGAGAGGACGTCGATGAGGAGTTCAAGAAGGCATGTTTTCGAGGATATAGAGTTCAAGGAAGAAATGATTGCAGTGAAGGGAGAGGAAGAAGAAGAGAAAGCTAGAGTGAGCATTTGTGTCCCTCCCAAGAACGCTCTTTTGTTGATGAGGTGTAGATCTGATCCCATGAAGGTTGCTACTCTTGCTAATCGGTTCTGGGAGTCCCCTGCTCCAAAAGATGATGAAAATGAAGCAGAGGAGGAGAATGGTGAAGGAAATGGGGAATTGGTGGAAGTACCTGCACAGGATCTTGAAATTGTAAACGAGGAGGCCAAAATAGAGGTGGAAGTAAGGGATGAAGTGGTGGAACAGTTGGTTTCAGCTGAGAGCAATGAAGAGGCAGAGGAGGAGCTGGAAAAAGAAGCAATCTTGGCAAATGATATGCAAGAATTTGTTCAAGAAGACGTTGAAGATGAGAAGCCAGGCAAGCATAGCAGCAAGGGATTGGAAGTGAGCAAAGGGAAAATGCAGATATTGATAGTAAGTGAAGAGGCGGATGAAGAAGAAGAAGAAGTAGAAACAGGTTTACATTCATTTGAAGATGATTTATTAGATGAGGAAATGGCAGAAAACATGCAGAGAAATCTGATTCAGGGACAGGCTGTGGAAGAGGAGAAAGAAGAACAGAGCATGCCAATTTCTCGTGATTCATTGTCCTCTGAAGAAAGCTCAGATAGACAGGAGGAGGGTTCTGAAGGCGAAGCACTGAAGAAAGAAGCAACGGTAGAATTCCTTCCTGTAGAAGAAGCTGATCTGGAAGAAGAAAATGAAGCAAAAACAGACGAGTCAAACATCGAAGACGAGGCAGAAATCCCACATGAAACATCTACATCTTTGGAGGAGCAGGAAACAGATAATGATGAAACAAAACAGTTAACCACTACCTTTTTGTTATCTGAAGCTGATGATGGAGAAAACGGCTCTGAAAGTGAAAAGGTCGAGCAAATTGAAGCAGCAGATGGGCAAGAAAGCCAAGAACCGCCACAAGAGGAGAATGACGAAGATGTGGAAGTTGATAAAAATGATGAGACCAAAGGCACCACCATAGAGACAGAGACTATCCAGGAGGATGAAGAAAAGGAAAACTCATCATCATCGTCAAATGCGCTGCCGGAATGTTTGCTATTGATGATGTGTGAGCCGAAGCTGTCAATGGAAGTTTCCAAGGAGACATGGGTCTGCAGTACGGACTTCGTCCGATGGTTGCCGGAGAGGCGGCCAGCAGCAGCTGTCACCAACAAGAAATTAGTCAACGCTCCACAGGACCCCAAGAAGGAAGTCAGCTGCGCCAACTCCAATAATCCTCCCCCTCCTCCAATGGGACCACAACCACACCCACCGCCGCAGGAGCTTATGTCCCAACAGCAAGAGCAACAGCAGGCGGAGATTTTTCTGCCACCGAGGTCTTCCTGCTCTCTGCCGGCGGCGGCAGCTGTGTCCATGGCGGCCATGATTGAACAGAAGCTGGTGAACGCCGGGGGTTACGAGCCGTTTGTGTTGACCAGGTGTAAGTCCGAGCCCATGAGGACGGCGGCGGCTAAGCTTATGCCGGAGGCTTGTTTCTGGAAGAATAGGAAGCTTGAGCCGCATCGTAGTGCCACGTTCGGGGTCGGCGCGGCTGGGGTTGGGTTCTGAGCCGAGCCAAGCTGAGGTGGCAAAGGACAGCGAATCTGTAGTGTGCGGGTTAGCGTGGTATTGGAAATTGTATTAGTGTGTTTTTCTTTCTTTTAGTTTCATTTTTTGCCCTTTCCTATGATAGTCGAAAACTCCATCTAGTCCAGTAGTGTTGCTTTGCAGTTTGCACAGGTATCTTGGTAGTGTACTTTATTTAGCATGTTTGTACATGAGATGAGATGTGCCCCTTTTAGCAAATTTTGTTTTTTTTTTTTTTTTCGTTTGTAATGAATTTTTGAGTAGTAATTACTAGTATAATTATATTAATCTTTTCACCTTTTCTTTCTCCAATCGGCCCTTCGGTCTTCAACCGTGGTAAATGGCCCTTCAACCATGGCAATTGCTTACTGGTGGTGTATGAAGGTTAGAGAAGACTAGCCGAGTTAGATCCGTGTTTCGATTGCATTTTTTTGAATTTTTTATAGAAAAATTTCTGTAACGATTTAATAATATATGAAAGGTAAAAATATAATCGAAAAATATGTCGACGAAAACATAGTAATTGTGTCTTTGAAAACTTGCAATCCAAACACAGTTGCATGGTAAGTGAATTGAGGATCTCTTTAAAAAAAAAAAAAAAAAAAAACATTGAGGTTCCCTCAAACTATATCGGGAGATGAGGATCAATTAAGTTGGTGTTTTTTGCACTTTGCAGCAGCTTCTTTTACCAGATAAACCCTGCATGCCAGGGAATCTTCTCCGGCATCTTCCCTGCTCTCTACTTAAAACTACCGGAAATTGACTAGTACCATATGTCGCAACTTCGCTGGCATGTTCTCCAATTCCCAAGTTCAGAATTACAATATCTTACTCCAGAGCAGCATAAAAAAGAGCCCAGAGAAGTAGTACAAGAAAACAAGCCAAGCATAATCATATTATACCCCATCTGCATTAAGATTTCTTTAGTGTGAGCTAGCCGTAACAGAGTAATTAGACGCTGTTAAACTGGTTTCTTGATTTGCTAATCATATTTAGGCAGGCTTCCTCAGCAGTATCCCCCACCTACACAGGAGGTCCCGACTGAAATCTTACCTTATCAGCCAGTAACGTTTAAGAAAGAGGAAAAGTTTGCAAAAAAACACTAGCCGCCGGGACACAGAGAGAGAGAGAGAGATCAAGCAGTGTGATGAAATATTTTAGGAGTTACCATTTGTTCATACTCAAACGAACGAACACATCAATTACATCATTCCTCAACCAAACATTTAAGTAAAGTATTTGTTTGACTCCTTGGAAATTACCAAACCCACTAGCTTCGAACTAAACTTAAAAAAAAAAAAAAAAAAAGAAGAAAAAGGCTTCTAATGTTAATCAATGTGTAAATTATCAAATTGATTGGCACTTCACTCGCAAACTCCACACAGATTGAGGACTTGGATTTTTGGAGCAAGACAGGAAGGTTGATGGGGCTAACATGGAGAAAGGAATACTTGGATTTTGTGCTGGTGCCAGTTGGTTTCTTCATCTTGTTTGCATACCACCTCTTCCTTCTCCTCAGGTACCTAAAATATCCACACACCACAGTCATTGGCTATGAGCATCACAACAAGAGAGCTTGGGTCGACCGAATGGTACAGGTCAGGGACATAAATCCACCCCCTTCCCCACAACTTTTTCGTTTGTAATAGCAAGAAATTTTGATGTGATTGTGCCTTTGTTGTAGTATGTTTTATACGATTTGGTGTGTATTAATGTTATTTTATTTTTATTATACGTGTAAATCATGTACAAAACCTAACATATATCTTCAAGTGTATTTCTAATTTTGAGATGAATATACCGTATCAATTTCATCGAAAGCCAACCGTGTTTGCCCTAATCACATTACATGCCAAATTGTAACCTGAAGCCAAGAGGAATTGATTTTATGCTAACGACATACATATATAAAAGAGTAAATCTTATATGAACTAGCACTATATATATATTCACGGTTAGATGCACGACACATATGCAAAATTTGAGTTTTAAATTCAAATTCAGATTATATGTCATGCATCCAATGATGAAAGTGCATACGCTGTCAATACATAAAAGATTAATTCTAAAAAATAACACTGATCACTTTGGCAAACGAATTGCAGGTTGAAGGTCGTCACAAAAGCATGGCAATATCTGTGATCACCAGCCAAGTGTCAGCAGCAACTGCCCTGTCTTCAATTTCACTGGTTTTATGCTCTCTTATTGGAGCATGGCTTGGGGGCAATTCCGCCATCATCACCAAGAGCAGGATCGTCTATGGAGACACGAGCACGTCGACTGCTTCCATCAAATACATAGCTCTTCTTTGCTGCTTCATGGTGGCTTTTGGATGCTTTGTTCAGACTGCAGGGTTCTTTGTTCTTGCAAATTTCCTCATAACCACGCCCGATAGTGACATTCCTGTGCTCCAGATTGAGAAAGCAGTGATCAGAGGAAGTACTTTCTGGTCGATTGGCTTGCGGGCTCTCTATTTTGCCATCACTTTTCTCATGTGGATTTTTGGTCCGATTCCAATGCTGGTTTCTTCGGTGATCACTGTGGCAGTTTTGCATCATTTAGATACAAATACCACGCCTTTGCATCAGTACCAGCCATCCAAAACTCGCCATCTCATGCAGAAGAACGGTCAGGGATCCTCAGGCATCATCGCATCGGAACGGTAGCCAACTATACAAAAGTAACCTTAAACTAGAGTCAGATCAAGAAAGCAACATACATTTCATGCATAGCCGATTGGAAAGTGAATTAGGAACTAAATGCAAGTCTTGTATCTGAGTTTGGATCTTTTGCTACGTTGTGTAGATGGGCTATGAAAATCATGCTTAGAATATATGTTTTTGTCACACAAGCATAGGAAAAAAAAAAAGAAATGTAATCCTTTGTTTTCGAGTTCGTAAAATAATTAGTCCATTATGTAGTATATGACATCTCAGGTTTTGTTCACCAATGTACTACAAATTTAAATGTTTTCATGGAATATGTGTTGGAGTGGGTCCGACAATACACAGAGTCTAATGTAAAATTGTGGTGAAATTTGTTTGTGGAGAAGCTAGCAGGACAGCAGATTATTACCTAACCAAAAAGTCTGTTGACATGAATATCTCCAAGCCCCGGAACTTTAATTTGCTTTGTGAAAAGGATCAAAGCATTGTTGTCTTTTCCAATATTGCCAGTCTTATCCACCAATTCGTCCTAGATTCTAAAAGGTCTAAAGATCCTAACTTTACATTCCCATGTTACCTTTTTTTCCCCAGGTTACTCACTTTGATGCTATGCTTCGGGTCGTTCTCTTTGGAGAAGGCCATGGATGAAAAAAGTGAAGATCCAGCAAAAGCAGAAAGGGACTGTTGCCGGTTTACAATGCGGAGTGGCCATCGCTGTACATACAGTGGCGGGGTTAAAGCCTTAAAAGTTTGAAAGCTGCCTTTTTCTCTTTTTCTCCTCAGTAACGAATTGGCACCTTCTGCTGTGTATTAATGCATGGCAACATACGTCCAAACATAGGATTGATGCTTTGGGAAGCCTCACGTGAAGTTTGCATTAGACTTGCAATTGGCTTTTCAGTTATGCACTTTAACTTTTTCTTCTTTTTCTTTTTCTTTTTGGCAAATTGCTTCAAGTTGGAACGAGGAGAGATCTTATCCAAGTGCGTATTATCCACAAAACAATTTATCATATCTATATTGGCGTATACTAATGCATAAGAATTATGAGAGTAACGTAAAAATTATATGCCACTAGATCATCACATTTGTTGCAAAGAGAGGTGAATATTGGATTACATTTTTATATACTGTTAGTGTAGACGATTTTTTATACTAATAGACGTAGATGTATGTTACGTATGCATCAAGTGAATTTTAAATTTGAAATCAGATTATGTGACATACATCTCATTCACTCGTTCATTTGTGTGTGTATATACTTACTGATAGTGTATTAAAAAATTATTCATAGACAATAACCTACTTTCTCTCATAAATATGAGAATCATAACTATTTGTTCGACACACAAACCAAATAGGGAAAAAAAAAAAAAAGAGAAAAGGAGGAGGACAGATTGCATGTGTTGGATGATACACGTGTCTCGCCCAACCCAATCTTTTTTTTTTTGTCAGCAACGATACTCTATCCTAATCTAGGGAGGAGCGGGAGCCTAAGGAGGCTAGTGGGTATACAGACCCAACTAGATCAAAAGGAATGCTCTAACATAACTCTTAGATTTTTTAAACTGCAGATGAGGTTTGAACCCTCACCCACCGTCCAAGGAGGGACTTAAGCCCCTCCCTGATGGCCACTGAGCCATTGGCCCAGTGGCTCGCCCAACCCAATCTGACTCCAATAGATTGTTTAGACGTGATTCTGGGTCTTTAAATGGGTTGAGCCACAGCTGAGCTAGCTCGAATATATTTACGTAGAGTTTTGTGTGTAAAAGAATCATGGTCCGAAATTGGACCCAGAGTGCAGACAGGCAATCCAAATGATTAATGATTGGCCCAAGATTACTCCCCCCACACATATTCATAAGGTTTGGATTAAAGAAGCTTAGGGGCCGTTTATATATTGTAGGACTCCGTTATACGTGTGCTGCTATGAAAGAAGTAACAAAAAAATGTGATAAAAATATTCTCATGGAATCTCAAAAGTTTTTTTTTTTTGCGGAAAAACTGCAATCCAAAATTTCCAGAGTATATATATATATATTGCAAAGACTTGTTTTCGGAATTTCAGAGTAGATTTATGACTTCAGTACATACTCTAATATTATTTGAGTCTTTGCATCCAAAATTTCAGTAACAATTCAAACATCTTTGCAATATTCATACCCTTTTTCTTTCTTTTTTTTTTGTCAATACAGGGGTGTTCGAGTCAATCCTTACGGGGCCCGACTAATCCCCTGCTGCCCAAGCCCGGCGCCCCAATCCGACCAAGGCACGATAAGTGCACAAGCGTTCCCATAGCGCAATTTTGAATCCGAGACCTAAATGTTCCAAAGGAACGCTGCTACCATGTGGCTAAACCCGTGGGGGCTCATACCCTTTTTTCTTGATTTATGGGATTTTGCATCTCTGAGATTCATTAAACTATTTGCTGTTTTGAAATTTCAATGTAATTAAGACCTTTTTTTCCCTAGTGTTTAATTGCATAATAAGGATCTCCTGTCAATTTGGATTTGGAAATGGCACCCGTATTTATACTAACCAGACTTTTTCTAGCATTTCCCCACTTAGGCAGGCAAATGGCGTATCGTAATTTGACGTACATCTGTATATCAGTTGGCATGGTTAGCCGTTGACTTAGTGTTTGCCAGCCTTGTCCACCCCAGTATATACAAAACGGGAATCGAGGTTGACCAAGAAAAAATTACAAGAGAGAGAGAGAGAGAATGAAATGCCAACGAATGATTGGCTTCCAGCACAAGGAAGAAATTTCCTTTTCCAAAAGTCATATATTATTATTTTGTAAACTTATTTGGTTTCCTTTGGGAGTTAACAAATGGGAAGAAACTTTAAAGAAAAGGAACAATAAGAAAGTGTCCTGCTCTTACTTGGAAGTTTTAGTAGGCAAGGATGGAGAGAAAAGAAAAGTAAGTTTTATCTCCAAAATTGGAAGAGAAAATGGAGATAGGAAACTTTACTAACATGTCAAGGTACCTATATAATATTTGCTGTATAAAAAAGTAAGAATTTTTTAATGGTTGCTCTATGAACACTCGGTGTACTTAAATTACATTTTTTATTATGTGATTGTCTAAATTCATATTCATTGTTCTCCTTGCAGTAAAAAAATGAGATGCATCTTAGTTAAATGAATGCTGGTAGGCACTCATTAATCAAATCAAAAAAACAATGGCTCCGTTATAGGGGTGTTTTTGAAATATTTTACTGTAGCAATATAGGTGATTTTTTTTTTCTATAAATGAGGTTGTTTTTGGTGTTTTTGAGGTTATTTTTGGTATTTTTGAAGTTTTTTTTTTATTTTTGTGTTTTTGGTATTTTTGAAGTTGTTCAAATTTTATGTATTACCGTAGCATTAAAAAAATAAGCAATCCAAACGGAGCCATATAATAATTCAATTCCTTGATGTAAATACCATCCTTATTTCTTGGCTAAGCTTGAAGAATAGCATCTCTCTCTCTCAAGATAGTGAGCAAGAAAGAAATGACAATTAGTGGGTATTTATACATGGCATATATAGTCATATGGAATCATCATACATTTACCACTACGGAACTTCTCCATAAGCACAAGTAAGAACTGTCACATTTTCTCTTCTTGAAAGTGGGGAGAAAAAAAAAAACACACACACACACACACACACACACACACACACAAAGCAGAAAACAATAAGTATCACATCATTCAGTTGCTCTATTACTTGCTTTAAGCTTTTTCATTTCAGCATTACAAGTGCAGCACTGGCTCTTACCTCTCACAATGGCTTTTGAGTGTTGGCCTCTATCTGTGACTCGTTACAACTTTCTTGCATTGTGAATTATTATTGATATGGTTGATGCTTAAGTTCTTGGACTCACTCTTAACTTCGCAGTGAGTCCACACCATTGGCCACGCATCAAATTGTACATACTTATGCCCAAGATTTGTACAAAATGTGGATTTGAAAGGAAGAGATATCAATTTAGTTCATCCTTTATCAAGGATATGCTGATTTTTTGCATTAGCAACCAGTCAAGAAAAAAATAGCTTCCCCCCCCCCCCCATTTGGCCGTTGAATGGCTTGCTTTTTGTGTTGAATGAGAACTCAACTTCTGTTTAATACTTTGAAGCTTTAAAAATATGACTTTATGGCCATTATTTCCGGAAAAAACTGGCAGTGGACGCTTGAAAAATCGCCACACGCATCACAGGAGAAATATTTTGTTGACACGCTAAGGAATCGTCCATGCTCCATAATAACTTTCCAGCAGCTGGATTTGGATACCACGTCGTTTCATGACTCATGCATGAGCAAGCTTGATCAACTGAAAAAAAAGAACCAATCAGGTTGGGGTCTACAGCCACTTTGATATTTTTTTTTTTAAACCAAAAAGGTACCATAAGGAAAAGTCTATCAATGATGAAAACAACAACAACCAGTCCTATATTCTATTCACAAAACATCTGTGAAGGAACGCATAACATTTTGATCCAATAGCAGTTTTGCAACATGACATGATAATTTAATTAGTAGTATCATCTCCAGTTGAGTGTAGCTATAAAATAAATGAAATAAAATATAGCCAAAAGCATGCTCAAACCTTCAATACCGGGAGGGTGATACAAGGAACTTATAAGAGTTGTGTCATTTTCCAATTATACCATATTGGAGTGGCGGAGAATACTACTAGCAGTGATGGTTGACGTTGAGTGATAGTTTCTTTGTCTGCAAAAACACTCGTATTCTTGGAGAAGACATAGCTGGAAGAATGTGGGGGCCGTGGAGGAAGGAATTCTTGGATGTAATTCTGGTACCTGCGAGTTTATTCATTATGTTTGGGTACCATCACTTCCTTCTGTATAGGTACCTCAGATATCCAAGCACCACAACCATCGGATATGAGAATCACAACAGAAGAGTTTGGGTTGAAAGAATGATGGAGGTCAGTAACTTCAAATCCTTTTTTTCTTTTTCTTGATTTCTTTGTGCATGTAGTTTTTACCTTTTTGGTTCTCTGCCGGGATCTTGAAAATAAACTGCAGATTGATATGGCACATTCATTTATGAGCACCTTGAAAATGGTCTGCAGATTGAAGCCAAAGACAGGCCGGCATTATCAGTGATTGCCAACACCATGTCAGCAGCATCTGCGCTGTCTTCAATTTCTCTAGTGCTGAGCTCTTTAATTGGAGCATGGCTGGGGAGTTCTAACAGGACAGTCTTTACGAGCAACCTTATATATGGAGCCACAAGTCCTTCAGTTATTTCTATCAAGTATGTGGCTTTACTCGTCTGCTTCCTGGTGGCCTTTGGCTCATTTGTACAAACTTCAAGGTGCTTGGTTAATGCCAGTTTTCTCATGACCATGCCAAACGCGGATGTTCCTATGAGCCACATTGAAAAAGAAATGATAACAGGAAGTATTTTCTACGAATTTGGCATGAGGGTTCTCTATTTAGCCACCACTTTTCTGCTGTGGGTCTTTGGTCCAATTCCAATGTTTGTTTCCTCTGTCACCATGGTGGGATTGTTGCTTAGGCTGGACGCAAATAGAACAGTTTTGTATCACTATCCACGGATTGGTCAGGACGTGTCTGAAGTCACCAAAGCTGTTGAGCATCATGAAAGACGACCACAAGGAAGGAAGTAGACGGTCGGGTGATTCCCAGTTGGATATATGGTTCCTGACTTAAAGCTTAGTCAACTACAGACGATGCAGAATCTCTCAAACGCAATCAACTCTTCAGTCCTATACAACAATATTACCTAGAGTAATCACGACCTCTCCTTTTTCTTGCTGAATTTACCAAAAAAATTTACATTGTAACTCACAATTGTACACAGTTTTTATCAAAGATTTTTTTACCTTTATAAAGATTGAAGATCCACAATGCATACAAGCAAATCAGAAGTTTCCTTGTCTCCAGTTCATTCATTTCCTTCCAAATTTGTAACTTACAAGGGAATCAGTAGTTTCCTTTTGTCTGTTCTAGACGAGGCAAATTAACTACAACCGCTGGGATCCCCGTTTCCATAGACCTTCTCAAAAACACAACATCTGGGAAAATTCATGTGAAACTAATGTCAGCACACCTATTTAAGAACAGCATTTTCCTTCTTCAGCTTGAATAAAATCAATGGCTAACCTCTGCCCTGCTGTTATAGTCTAAATTCAATCTTGTTTACTAGAGGGCTTTGGTGTCTGCATATGAAAGAAGAATTTAGCTTCTTGACAGATTAGTTTTAAACAGAAGATATTCATCTTAAGGATAAATTCTACAAGTTAGGAAATGGTCACAGAGAAGTATAAAAAATAATGAAGAAAAATGGCAACATAAACCAGCTTTGCAGCTTATAATTATTATTATTTTATTTTTGCAAGAAGAAGATCATGTACAATATGGCATATACTGATCTTTACCATGAAACTTGTCATGTATATCAGTGTTAAGTTAATAGGGCAAGGAAAGTTTGCCTTAATATTTCTCATTTGTTTTGGGGGAGGGGGAAGGAAATAAAGAAGAAAAAAGAATGATTGGAAACTCTAGCTACATATATAAACAAGACAGATGTAAATTGTACTCAAAAGGAAAAAAAAAGAAAGAAGAAGAAAGATTGACTACTAAGGTAACCAAAAATAGAATTAGGAATGACTGCAGAGATAAAAAGCGTCATTATACAGAGATGTAGATCATTACCAGAAAAACTAATACATATATGAGAGCCTGTTGCACACAAAAGGAACTGAAACTGTTCCCACCAACCTGTTAGCTATATCTGCAATTATTGTGAACTATCTGAACTTGGATCCTCATTAAGACTCCTTATCCCAGAACTATCAATGGGACCTTTCGGTGATTCATCTGATGATTTTACCTGTGCTTCACCTCCATTTTTTGACTCGTTTGGTTGAGAATCTCCCATAAAGGAGTTGATCACAAGCTGGCCGGAGTAAAGAAGTAATCCTACAGAATTTATGCTGAAGACAAATGTAGCAAGGTAACACAAACCGTTGACAATAGTCCTGCATGGAGATGATAAGAAGAGTTTATAGATCTTGCCTCATTTTTTTCTTTGTGGCTTGGAGAGTTTGTAGATCTCTCAGCTAAATGGACATAGCTGTATGAGATAATACAGATACAGAGCATACCTGATGGTTATGGTTATCTGGCGAACCTGGAATACATAGAAAGATAATCTCAACACCCGAAGATGAAAAATAATCAAGAAAAGAGTCAAGCTACTAAGAAGGTTCAGAAATATGATAAACGAGGTGCTTCTTTCCTTTGGGTCCCATAAAAGTGCTTATTATGGCAGGGATGGCAATTTGAGAGTACATATAATTGTAACTTGCATCTCAACATGATTAATCAGTTTTAAAGCGTCAACAACAATTCAAGGTTTTAGAAGGCTAGTAATAATGCAATTGCACTATTACATTGTGGAGATGCTTAATTACAGGACACAAGATGAACCAAAACTAGTATCAGACAGAAACATTCCTGAACATACAACTATGTTAGGACAACTTTTAATGACAATGTTACACTGCTCTCTAGTTTCATTTCAATGATGACTCATCATTTAAACACTTCTGAGCACACAACTATATTAGCTTATAGTATCAGACAGAAAATTAGTATCGCAAACAATTTTCTCTAAAAATTGCTGACTCTTGAGTTGGAAAAGTAGTATCACACAGAAATTTACCACAACTCTGGACTTGCATAGGGGAACTTGAGTAGTGATAATAGATTATGGGTGTGTTATTTATTCACAATAAAAACTGAAACTCCTTCCTTTTTTCTCTCATTGCACGTAATGAAACAAAATGCACTAGCTAAACCAAACTGCTATCTATAAAGCAAATTGTCACAAAATTCACGTACAATAGTGTTGAGCAACCATCTCATTTGAGACTTTTTTTTATTTTTAACGCATCTTATTTGGGACATGAATTCTTACCTTTCATACCCCTGTTTTTTTTCCCAACACATATCATGTTAAACGTAACCAGGTCAATATCACAAGCCTACGTGAATATAGCTAAAGCTAATCAAAGGACTAACTGAGAAGTTATCTGAAAGTGGTTGCTGATTGAGAGCAGCCTCAATAGTGGTGGTGAACTTGTAAAGAAGCAACGCAATGGCACCCGCTGTTAAACCTCCCAGCAATGCTTGAACAGGTGAAGGTGAAGACTTAGCATCAATCGGTGTTGGCACCATTACCTTTAAATTCTCCAATGCTTCCTCCTTCAACGACTTCTTAGCTCCTGATGACCTAAGTTTCTAATCCCACCAAGAGTTAGTCAAATTTTCCACATTAAGAACACCCAAAGATACAAATAATCAAACATTACATGCCTCTTCTAACTACTCATCGCATTACAACTTGCAATACAAGCTTATATATCGTCCTATCAGTATCAGAAAGGCATCATCTTCTCATAAAAGTGCATGCATCAAGTCCTCAATCCTAAAAGTAACAACACTTTAGCTAAAAAACTCCTCTAAAGCTGCAAAAAAATCCCAACTTTACACCTGAATATATACTCAAGAAACCAAGAACACCCAAATAATCAGCTGCTACACAGCGATAATCATCCCACTGGCAAATTAAAACGTATGCTATTCAGAAACAATTAGAGTTTAATATACAGGATTAGTAATTAAAGTTAAAGAATTACCAAATTCATCATACAGAATGGGGCATCAATTATAGTTGGACTGACATACCAATTCTTTGGCGCGTTTAGCTCGTCGGCGGATGGAGCGAAAGAGGAAGACAGTGATGGCGCCAGTGAGGAGGACACTGGTGGCAGTTTGGATGGGAGTAGGCTTGTCGGAGGTGGCGAAAACGGAAGGACTGGAAGATGGGATTTCTATTGGGCCCTCTTCTGGAGGTGCCTCTTCTACAGTGGCGGTGGTGTTGGGTTGTTCTGGGACTTGGGCCAGCCATGGTTCAGTGGTTGTATGGTGGTTGTGGGCTGAGACAGAGCGGGAAATGGTGGCTGTGAGGGACTTACAGAGGAAGTTAAGACAAGAAGGGGAAATGGGCAGAGGAGAAAAGGTGAGGAGGGAAGAGGAAGATTGAGGGAAGGGGAAGTAGCAATGTGGTGGAGTTTGGAAGATTTGAGCATGGGGTGATTTTAGAGTTAGAGTAGGCATGGTGAGGCCTGGGTGATAAGGAGGGGTTTATGGTGATGCTTCTTGATTCTGCTTCTGTATTTTCAGTTTTTTCTTTATGTGAGATCTACTACCAAAATCATAATTCATTCTCTTGATTTTTTTTTTCTGTGTTTTTTAGGGAAATAGAAAAGCCCTTGGGTATTATCAGGGATAAATCTCCGTGGTCCCGTGATGCCCCACTGGTAGAGGAAGGCAATGGAATTGAACATTGCAAAAGAACATGAATGTCTTGATTCTAACAATTTCTTGTTTTCTTGATTTATTCCTGTTAGTTTTAGTCAGAATTTACTACATAATTCCTTTTATTTCGTTTGAAGATATGAAAGGAATTGGTTTTCTTAGAATTTTACTTTCACTTTTCCCCTAAGTTCCAGAATTTGGAACCCTAAATTTGACCTTAAATCATTTACAACAAAGAATACAGGGCTTAGAATAGAATTAAGAGAGTCACGAGGGTAATTTTTTTTTCGGAAATGATAAATGATATTTTATAACTAATCGAAATGTACAATATTTGAACAAAGACTCAAGCAACTTTACAAAGTGTACCATGATATTTAAGAAGAGCCAAAAAATTTCTCCTCATCCATAAGTATGTTTAGAACATAATGGCTAATTTGATTACATAGAATCATATTACTAACATTCCTAACTTCAAAAAAGCACATTTGAAACAGATTAGCTAAAGCATGTATGTCTTCAATCAACGTAGCCGTGTTTGGATTGTCTCCTTTCCCATCTCTTATCAAGGCAATAAGTTGCTTATTAGCACTAATGACTTTGATTCTTTGCCAACTTTGTTGTCTTGCTTTCATTAGTTCTAACCTTACTGCTATAGCTTCATCTTGAATATCCTTTTGCGAGCTTCTATCCACTAAAGTCCATTTAGCTCTGATCCTCCCTTCAAATTGCTTGGCAACTATGCCAATTCCCAGTTTATGGCTCACTGCTGATTTCTTGGTAGCAATCTGAAGTTCCATCAGCTCACCTTTCTCCCTCCTGTGCTCTCTCATTTGCTTTATCTGTTTCTGATGTACTTTTCTCATCCTTGCCTTTTCTAACTTGCTCATACTCCATCCATTCTATACTGGCTTTATGTATAATTTTTAGGTCATCTCTTTCCTTCCCTTCAAATTCCTTTTCATTTCTATCTTTCCATAACTGCCAGAGTATGTTGGCAGTCAGAGCAATATACTGTCTTCCTTCTTTCCTACTTGTGGCTTGAACTAATGCTGCCCACCACTTCTTGAAGCAACCTGTCTGATTCTGGATGCCATCCCATTGTACTGGTGCAAGCTTTCATACCTTCTGAGCCTGCCGACAGTGGAATAGAATGTGTTCCACAGTTTTCATTTTATCTCCATACCTTGAGCAGAGAGGTGATCCTTGTTTTGTTCTTCTGAATATTGTTTCCCAGGCTGTTAAGGTGTTAGTAATGCACCTCCATATGAATAGCTTAATCTTATGCTTGATGTTCAGTCCTTAGAGAGTTTTCCAAATTTGTGTATTGGAGTCATCATAACTCGATCCAGATTCTCCTTTTGCTTCTTTTCCCTTACTCCTCTCTTCCTTTAGCAGAACCTGGTAACAGGATTGAACTGAGTACTCCCCATGTTTGCTATGTGCCCAGAAGTGCATGTCCCCAGACCTTGACAGACTAATAGGTATATTCATAATGTTTTTAGTATCCTCCCTGTTGAACCTCCTGTAAATCTCATTCCTATTACATTTGAAGTTTGAAATCAGATCTTCCACATTTTGCTCCTCCCCACTGTCTGGCATCCTTGTAGTTGGTCTTCCATTTAGATTGTTTGGAATTCACTGATCTTTCCAAATTCTTATACTCTTCCCTGATCTAACTCTTTTCAGAATGCCCCCTTGACTACCTCTCTGGCTAACATAATACTTTGCCAGAACCAAGATGAGTTTTTGGGAATCTCACAATTTAGAATGGAATCCTTGGGATAGTACTTGGACTTTAATATTCTGCTAACCAGCAGGTTTGGGTATTTGATCATCCTCCAAATCTGCTTTCCCAATAATGCTTTATTGAAGCATAATAAGTTCCCAAATCCCAGTCCTCCTTCTAATTTTGCCTTCATCATTTTGTCCCACGAACACTAATGTATCTTGTTATTCCCTTCTGATTCACTCCACCAGTATTTGGCCATTATGCCTGAGATTTCCTTGCATAGTGTAACAGGTAACTTGAAGCAAGACATAACATAGTTTGGCATGGCCATAGTCACAGCTTTTAACATCATTTCCTTCCCTGCTGCACTTAGGAACTTGTTCTTTCAACTGTTAAGTCTGGCCTTAATGCTATCTTTTATATAGGCAAATATTTGTTCTTTTTGTCCTTTTGATCACTATTGGGAGGCCCAGATATTTGCCATGGTTCACTGTCCTTACACCAGCTAATGGCTCGCAAGTTTCCTCATTGTCTCTTCCTTTGGTGTTCTTGCTAAAACAGATAGAGGATTTGTTCAAGTTAATCACTTGGCCAGACCCTCTTTCATACTGATCCAAAATTTCTCTTAGTTTCCTTGCTTCTGTCCTCACAGCTTTACAGAAAATCAATGTGTTATCAGCAAAGAATAAGTGAGTTATAGCAAGTCCTTGTTTGATGATCCTTAGTCCACTTAGGAATCCCTGTCTTGCTGCATTCCTTAGCAGAATAGAGAGGCCTTCATAACATAATAAGAACAGGTAAGTGATAAAGGGTCACATTGCCTGATGCCTCTAGAAGGAATCACATATTCCTTGGTCTCTCCATTAACATTGAAGGAATAAGAGACAAAACTAATGCACTCCATTATCCAAGCTACCCACACCTGATTAAACCCCATTCTTTCCATCACAGCTTTCAAATAACCCCATTCAACTCTATCATAGGCTTTTGACATGTCCAGTTTGATTGCAGTATAGCCATCCTTACCTTGTCTTGTTTTTAAGAAAATGAAGGCATTCATGGGAAATGATTATGTTATCCAAATCTGTCTATTTGGAACGAAGGCTGATTGATTTTTGCTAATGCAGTGTTCTAGAACAAGCTTCAATCTATTTGCTAGGATTTTGGAGATTACTTTATAGAGTACATTACAGAGGCTGATTGGCCTATATTGTTTCAAGTCAGTGGGCAGATCCACCTTAGGAATAAGAGAGATAATGGTATGGTTCAGAGATTTGAGGATATGTCTTGACTGAAAGAAAGATTTGACTGCTTCCACCACATCTTCCTTAATAGTAGGCCAGAATTTTTAGAAGAAGAGGGATGTCATCCCATCAAGCCCTGGTGCCGTATTGGGATTCATGGCAAAAACTACTATCTTAATCTCATTTTCCTCCACAGGCCTAGTAAGATTAACATTAATCTGGTCAGTAATTGTTTCTTGAATACCATCCAGTAACTCCTCTAGACCATTTGTTCTAGTAGACTGAAAGATTTGCTTATAATATCTAGCTATCTCTTCAGCAATCTCCTTGTCATCAGTTGTCCAAGATCCATCCTCCATCTGCAGATTCCTTATCTTGTTTTTTTTTTCTTCTCCCCTTTACCATTGCATGAAAATATTTGGTATTCTTATCTCATTCTTGTAACCAGTTAATCCTAGCTTTCTGACTCCAATATTGTTCCTTCTCTCTGTAAGCTCCCAACAACTGGTTTTTCAGAACTGCAATTCTTTCTTTCCTACCTTCAATATCAGAACTTTTCTCCTCTATCAGCTGCTGTTTCAGGGTTGAGATCCTCTTCCTAGAGTCTTCAATAAAACCATTTCTCCACTTCAGCAAGGCAACTTTATATCTCTTAATCTTATGTGTTATTCTAAACATTTTAGATCCCCTTATATCCTCCTTCCAAGCCTTTTTTATCACTTCTCCAATTCATTCTCCCTGAATCCATCTTTTGTCAAAGTAGAATTTCCTTCTCTTTTTCCTTTCATTTGGGATTGTGTCTAGTATCAACATGCTGTGCTCAGTGGCCAAGCTTTCTAGGTGAGTACACTTAGGGTGTTCAAAAAGGTTACTCCATCCTCCACTGCTAAGCCCCCTATCAAACCTTTGTCTTATTTCCCCATCTTGCCACTGATTACACCAGGTCTAGGGGTTATCTTCAAACTCAATATCAACCAGTTGGTTCTCCTGAATGAAGTGTCTGAAATCATAGAAACTCCACTCCTCCCTAGCTCTGCCACCCCACTTCTCCTCACTTGAGTATAAGTCATTAAAATTCCTCATAATTAACAAATTTTCCCACCACAGGGCTTTCTTTCTACTGATAACTTTCCATTGCCCTTTCCTCATCTGTTTATCATAACTGGCATAAATTCCTATCAGCCACCATTCCTATTTCACTTCTTCATCCTCTAAAAGTTCTTCAATGGTAAAGGCTGTGTTTGATATCTTTAACGTTTGTTTTCTCATTCCACATCAAACTCATCCCTCCAGATTTGTTCATAGCCTTTACCACATAACTATTATCAAAGTTCAGAATCCTTTTCACCTTCTCCAAGTACTTAGCCTTATCCTTAATATCACTCAGAAAGATCATGTTCAGGGAGAGGAGGTTGTTAACCTCCTTCAAGTGGGAAATTGTCAAGGGGCTCCCTGCACCTTGGTAATTCCACACCATAGCTCTCATTGGTCTTTTAAGAACCAGTGCCGGCTGATTCCTCTCCCTTCAAACAATTCATAATCCTTCCCCTCATTCTGATCTCCTCTAGGCCTTTTGTCCGTATGTTCCTGCTCCACAGCCTCATCCATATCTTCATCTCTCAGTTGAAACTTTCTCTTTGTACCATTGATCTCTGTAAGAGGAATTCTTAGCTCTCTAGGACCTGAATGCACTCTCCTAAACCTCTTCCCTTCTTTCCTGAATCCTCCTTTGTTCTTTTTGTTGGTGGTTTCATCAGTTTCCATACTCACTAGTTCGCCCCCAATGTTAAGTCTTCCTTATACTCCTTCTTCACCTCATTCTAACCTCCCATTCACTTGTGTCCTCTCCCTTCCTAGGACTCATTGTTCCTCCATGACTACCTCAGTGCCTACAGACTCAAGTACAACAATAATTCTAGCTTCCTCAGATATAACTTCTTCCATTCCTGTGCTAGTGTTCCTATCATCTTGCTCCCCTTTCTCCTTCTCTATCTCTTTCTCAGTACTCTACCTTGGTATTGTCCTCCCTATTTTTCCCTTAACTTCAGCAGGTAAGCCATCCTTCTCCATTATTTGTTTCTGTAGCTCTTTTACCAGAACTCCATCTGATCTACTTACATTCCTGTCTTGAGACAAGTCTACTCTTTTGTCCTGTTTCTCTAACTCCTCTATCCTGATCATTTCTCCATTTCTCACCTTCCAAACCTGTTTATGTGATGTCTAAATCTTTTGACTATACTCTTTTTGAGGGGAGCTTCTTCCCCCAAACACCCTCATCCACGAGCTATATTGATTCTGATATTGCCCCTTTTTCACCAACACAGGAGACTTGCAATTCTTTTCACTATGCCCAATGACACTACAACTATAGCAGAAATCAGGACACTTCTCATACTTAAAGGATAACCATTTATTCATTCCATTAATCTGAACCGTGGTTCCTCTCAATAAATGCTGCTTAATATCAACCAGTGCTAATAGTTTCATATGTTTCTCTTCCTTACCTCCCGTTCGAGAAATTAACACATCCTTAACCTCATTAAAAACAGATCCCACTTTCTTCCCAACTGCCTTATATAGGCAGCGAATGGAAAGATTCCACACTTGCACCCAAACAGGGGCTAAACTGAAAGCATCTTCATTCTCTTCAATCCCCACCTTCCACTTCCTAAGCACTAATATCTGATTATCAATAATCCACGGACTCCCGTCAATAATCCGTTCCTTATCCTTAGAATTTGGGATAGTAAACTGGAAAACATTAGGTTCTAATTCTGCTACTTTAAGATCCTTAGGATAGCTCCAAACCACAATAACAAAATTTTTAACTCCTATGAAGTTAACTATTCTCTCCCCTCTTATTTTTCCTATGATGCTACCTTGACATTCTGTTATCCCCTTATCTAGGTCCCCTAGATCCAGGAGTGTACTTCCCGCTTCCTTCTCTGAAAAAACAAATTTTTGTAACACCTCTGCCAGCTCCTCCTCTATCGAACCATAAGAGGAAGACTGAAGGTATTCTAAACACTTACCACTAGAGACACGTTACTCTCCTAGTACTATGGAGATAAAAGATAGGTAGCAAAATTCAAGTTAACACACCAAACTGACACTTCAAACACAGAAAAGACAAGAAAGCAACTAAACAAGAGCAAAAGGCAGTCAGGCTACCTGAATCGGACTTCTTTCCTTTTATAGAGTTGTTGGAGTTTCCGACCAACTGCTTAGGAATTGCGCCTGCAGATGTACTTTTCTCTTTTTCCTTTTCTTTTCTGTTTTTTTCTCACCAATCGACCAGCTCCACTTCCATGACTTCCTTGAATGCTGCTTCTTAATGGTGTCTTATCCAAATGTGTGTTGAATGCTTGCCTTTAAGAGCCAGACTTGCACACAATGTTAGGATCTAGAAGTTAGCTCAGACTCAAACTTTTGAATTCTGTTCATTAGTTGTTTGGAATTTTCAAAAGCTTGAAGTTTCCACCAAGGAGAAAGAAGCTCTCTTGTCAAGAGAGAGAAAAAGCCTCTACACGTGAGAGGAAAAACCCTGTTGGACCACTAAGTCACGAGGGTAATAGCATACGTTACTTTTTCATGCATGATAATTTAGATGGTATGGTCCCAAAGAATTTTACTCATTTAGCAGTTCTAAATGATGATGAGAGGAGAAGAGCATGAATAATGTCTATGCAGGATATGTCAACTACTAAAACATATGCATGATGGTTTCCTCTATTATCTCCTTAATCTTCTGAACAATTTTTCTTTTCCTTCTGAACAATATTAATCAAATAAGTGTATATCTTCTCATTTCTCCCTTTTTTCTACTGTATTCCTAGTTTGATATACAAAAATCGCCTAAAATGGAGAGAACTTTTCGATTGATCCATTGCCATGTTTGATATGAACCTTTTGAGTTGGAAAAAAACCTTTTTCCTGAAAAGCTCATTTTAACCTTTTTTTTAAAAAAAAAAAATCCATTCCTCGCAAAATTCTAAGGAAGGTTCTTTTCATCTTTATGTTCGAATGTCTACAATTACTGGGGTCAAGTTTATCCTTACATCTCTATGTTCTATTACCAATTAGTAGGTTGTTTGTTAGTTTAATCAATAATTTACCATAATTTTTTAACAAACCATTCTAGTTGGTTCTAAAAATTTTTCCTTTGTTAATTTTATAATATTGTTCTTTTAGACTTTTGTTCAAATGTATATGGATTTGTTTTGGCCCTTGACATAAACAGTGAAAAAAATAATAAAGAGAGAAAATGAATGTTTAACTTCATGTGATTTAATTTTTTTGTAAGTTAGTAATTATATTGTTATTTAAAATAAAAAAAAAGTTAAAATGAATATCATATTTGAAAGATAATAAAATGTTGTAATGAAATTATTTTAATAAGTACATAATTCATTCACAATGCACAAAAAAAAGAATCAAGGTTCCTCATATAAGATAACAAATAGCATAGCATGAATAAACAAAATATGTAATGCTCAATAATAGATTTCAAGGTAATTAAATCAATTTTATACATAATTTATTCCATTTCGACATCTAAAAATTGATTGTACCAAATACTGAAAATGGGATGGACATCCCATTCTCATATGCGTACCACCGTACCAGACATTGGAACGGAAATGTTTTTTAATATCATTCTGACTCGAAAAACATTTTTTGGTGAAAAGGCCTTTACATTCTGAGCATTCCAATATACCAAACCAAGGTTTTTTCTTTCCCTTCCAGACTGCCAACTAGGCCGAAGCCCAATTTCCCAACAGAGGTTTAACTTTAGTCTTTGGTCCGGGATACAGCACTTGGATTAGAACTCCAATTATACTCCATATGAAGCACACCCACAAAACAAAAAAAAAAAAGAAAAAAAATTCTTGTTCTATCCAATTCCAATCCTCCCTTTGAACCCTTCTAGTTGACAAGCAACCTGACCAATATACCTCTTCATCCTCAAACATCTTAGGCCCTCATGCATTGCAGTCGCAGCAGTTGGATCACAAGATGAAAGAATGATTCCTGCAGTTGAAATGCTCTCATCTTCACGGGCCAACTTCTTGAAATCATTGAATACAAAGGTACCCTCAACCTCCTGAGGGATCTGCTTCAATTTCTTTGCACTTTAATGTGACATTGATGACTCCATATCCAAACTCCAGTACTAACTCACCTACTAAAAGAGCAAACCACACACAGAGAATGTGAATCTACACAAAAAGAGAGAAGAGAAGAGAAAAAAAAAAAGGGCCAGATCATTGGCAATTGGACTTGCAATTGTCATTTTGTCTTTATCCACTTTCTTTCATAACTACTGAATTGACAAATTATTGCCTTTGTCGCAGAAAAAGGGAGCAAATTTAGCCAGACAAGTGGGTGGCATTGGCAATCATGGCTCGTTTGATTCACAATTTTTCTACCATTTTGTAGGGATGGCAGCCAGTTTCCAGGTCATTAATGAGGATTACAATAAACTTAGTTAAAAGTCAAGAAAGCAATCCTCTCATCACATGCTGAGTTATATTATATAGCTTCTCATACATCAATAATGCCCAGCAACAATCATAAGCATAAAGATTGACTGATTGAATCAGAATTTATTGCTATAAATGACAAAAGTTTAATCCTTCTTAACCCAAACCCAAAGAATGTGTTTAGATCAATTACAGCAGTAATCTGGTAAATATATATAATAGCAATTGCAGAGTCTTACCAAAATCGATGATTCTATCCAAGGATCTAACCCATATTCTCAAGTTAAAGTTGCACAGATGATGATCAGCATACATGTATGATTGTATGGTTAGTTATCAGCATTCCTGGCGCACATTCGAGGCTACAGCTCTAGCCCAAAATCTGATCTGTGCTTTCATATCTTCTGCCGACTTCTTGCCCATTGGAGATGCAGGGTTCTCAGGCTGCCATGCCTGATCAGCTGTATAGGACTTCCTCAACTTACCTTCATTTAGACAAAACTGTTGCTGCTTCTTTTCTTGCAGACTTGGACCTAAATCTTTGTCGTCAAATTTGATACTCAAGTCCTTGAGACCTTGAAGTTCTACAATAAGGTCACTCGAGCTTCTTGATAACTTGGCCTGATTAAGGGGGTGTTGCCTTCTGATCATCACCCCTTCGGGGATCTCTGTTTTACAGCTTTCCGAATCTGGTTTTCTTCGCGGCCGCAGCCTAGGTGTGCTTGAACTTTGTGTTAGACCCTGGAAGGCAATTATAGTCGTTAGACGGAATTATAGTCGTTCAGAGAAGGGGTTTGATTCTGAACTATGCAGCAGCAAAATTCAATAAACTCAATCATGATAGCGATTTAATATTTCCTATGAAATGATGAACTGCTCATGCATGGACCCTTCTAGAGGTTGAACAAGATTTGCCATGTAGATCAAGGTATAAATTGATGATTAAAAAAAGCAAGATTTCTACCTTCGGAATCGGAACCCGGCGCGGGGGCAACAGGTCTGATTGATTCAAAGATGCTTGCCTAATCAACTTGCTCATCGAAAAATCACTTTCTTCATCTTGAGTTTCTTCTCTTCCTAGAGAAGTTGGAAGAGAAGGTGCACGAAACAGATTGTTACTAGATTTTTCTAGTCTTGATTTGCTTCCCCTGCGCACAGGATAGGTACCTCCTCCTGCATGATAAGTCGATCCTTCTGGCAAGGACGGCGCTCTCATCAACCCGGAAGGAGTTAACTCATCCCCTTGTGGTAGTTTGTTTAACGATGAGAAGGTTTCTTCATATGATTTTCCAACCAAAATCTCTTCATCAGCTAAGCCAGAGGAAGGACAGGGATCAGAATACCATCTACACATCCTGGTTGTTTTTCTGTCAAGCAAGTTCCCAAAAAACCAAGACTTGTCAAGGAGATCTCCAGGCTCCTCCTCCGCCATTTCTTGATGCTTACAAGTTGAGGAGTCGCAAGAAGAATCATCAATCACCTCCATACCTGCAGAAACAGAAGTTCTTGCAGCAAGCCCACATGGGATTTCTTGATCTTTCATCCGACTTCTGTAGAAAAAGCTGCTGTCTGGGCTGACTGGGAAGGCCATGTGGGATTGGGCATATTATGCTATACTATACCATATTAGATTGTTACGCAATCAATATAATATGGACACAAGTCTACGAAGTCTTGGACTAATATAAAACTTATATGGGAGACAATATAATATAATTATATTTTGATGAGAAAGGGGAGGTGTACACATTTAATTGGAACAGGTCAGCACAGATGGAGAGGGTATAATTGCTTGAAGGATGGAAGAATGGAACACGAGGTCATGACAGCGCAGACCCCCCAACCCATGTGCTGGCCCTCTGTTTCTGGATAACTAACTGAGAAAATTATTCAGATGCCACTAAATTTTTAGAATTATCAAACTTTTACTGTTGAACTATTAAAACTTTAATTTTGGTCATTGAACGATTTAAAATTTAGGTTTCGAGTTATTTCGTTAGATTTGATCGTTAAGCATGCCTTTTTCTTTTATCTCGTAAATCATGCAGACACTCAGATCTGGCATCGTTAACGATCAAATCTAACGGAATGACACGGAACCTAAATTTTAGATAGTTCAGTGGTCAAAATTAAATTTATAATAGTTCAGCGGCCAAAACTCAATGATTCTAAAAGTTTAGTGGCCATTCAAATAATTTGCTCATCACTAATTATATACGGACAAAGAAGATTGTTTGGTTAAATTTCCTTCAGATTATATATTTATGAGACAGCTAACTGATTTAGATACGTAATTACATGTTGACAACTACCGATGATAATCGAACCCAGGCCTAATTCCTTGTTTTTTTTTTTGTTTTTGTTTAATGAGTCCTGATTAGCGCAAATGAGGAGCTGTAAATTGCAACCACCATCGAATATCTGTACCCACCATCGAATGTAGCGCAAATGAAGCCAATCTGCTCCAGCTTGACTCAATCTAAGCGTATTAATTTGAGTTCCAACTCAAATGGGATCAATAAACTATCAATGGGAAGGGAAAAAAAAAAAAAGTAAAAAAACCCCCCACAACAAATGGAAGGCCAGATCACTAGAAACACATTTTTTTTAATTTCTTTAAATTGGGATTAATTCTATAATGCAAACAAATCTGATTTGGGATAGCAGCACATTTATCGGGGTGATTTTTAAGTTTTAACTCTTAAAAGATAAATAGAGAAAAAGGACACAAGAAAATTAAAAAACAAACAAGGACTCCGTTTGGATTAGTCATTTTTTTAAAAATAAAAATTTCAAATGCAATGCTATAATAATACACAAATAAAAATAATTCAAAAAAACATCTCGTTCATGCAATATATCAAATATTTCAAAAAATATTTATAATAAAAGTTTTTCATATACACTGTTACAGTAAAATTTTTTAAAAACACCCCAATGTAAACGGAGTAGTTGCCTATACGCAGGTATTTCCATTCTAAACAGGAAATCTAGAAGACAAAAAATAATAATAATAAAAATACCAACATAGTCATATAATAGTTTCCTGCATGAATTTTCTATGGGAACGTTTCATTAATAAGGACCACCACAAGTTGTCAATTGGCTATAGAGACATTAATAAGTGCAAGTTGAGATATTCAAGTCGAAATTAAGCCACTGCTACATATGCTCTCATCCACTCTCTGCTTAAACCATGTCATCTGCTGCTGTCATTCATAGTTATCTCAACAAAATAATAAATATGGAAGCCCTTCAAATGTTACACTGATAATTTAGAATTGATGAGAATGACTTTCAGATTGTAATAACAATTCAAACAATTTGAATTTACTACTACAAGTTTTGTTGTCACTTGCAAATATTTCTCGAATTGTGGAGCCATCATCCCTGCGTGTGCTTTGTGTCGTTTTTTGCAGTGGAAATAGAGCCGAGCCAAGTCTTCCTTTGTGAACATCAGCTTCTTCTTCTTCTTATAAGTGAAAACATAGACAAAATATTTCCAACCATCTTTGCAAGCTCGTCCGCACATCGGTTCGACCAGCATCCTGCAGTCAAACATCATCGGCTTGTTTTGTTTTCACTGGAACAGAACAGTGTATTGTTGATGTAATGTACTGAGCAACCCATTTGTCCTAGGTGAAGGCGGCGTGACATCGCTCTTGACTCTTCGAAAAGGATTTTGTTTCCATTTGGTACTATTCGATGAATCATCGACAAGAACATCCATCGTCCCCGAAAGGGATGTCCCATTCGGCCCACTACCTCATTATCGGGATCGAAGGCCGACAAAGTTTGCCTGTTTTTAGATCCGGACTCAATCGATTTGCCAATCACCACAACGCAGTTGTTTAGCAAGACCTTAACCACCGCGGAAAAAAAAAAACAGAGATAAATGAACCAAGAAAACAACTTGTATAATTCAACGGACAAAAAAAAAAAAAAAAAAAAAAAACTATTCATAGAAGTTTGGCTTCATGAGAGTGAAGTATGATTGTGTGTGGGAAGAAGCCACTGTAGTTTTCTTTGGATCAGGAACTAGTCAAGTCAAAGAGCCCTAAAATTTCGTTATTGGAAAAACACATGCCATCATGGATTACTAGAAAAAAACTAGTATTTCACTTGATTGAAAATCTGATAATTCATGAAAAAAATTTTGAAGCCATAGTTCTCTGATTACTGACAAGAAACTCTAATGCAAAAATGGCTGATGAAAATGGGTTTCACATTGCTATGTTTCCATGGTTTGCCACTGGACACATGACTCCTTTCCTCCACCTCTCCAATAAACTTGCTGAAAAGGGCCACAGAATCTCATTCTTGTTGCCAAACAAGGCTAAACATCAACTGGAGCACCTCAATCTTCATCCTAGTCTCATCACATTCTATACACTAACTGTTCCTCATGTTGAAGGCCTTCCTCCTGGAACCGAGACAGCTTCTGATGTTCCCATTTTCCTCACAAGTCTACTGGCAACTGCCATGGACAACATGCGCGATCGTGTCAGAGACTTGCTGCAAAAATTGAAGCCCTCCATCGTCTTCTATGATATGGCACATTGGATACCTGAATTGGCTTCAGAAATTGGTTTCAAAACTGTGAATTACAATGTTGTATCTGCTGCATCAATTGCCATTGCGTTAGTTCCGTCGCGTAAACCTGTTGAAGACAGGACAATTACAGGAGCTGAGCTGATGGAACCGCCACCAGGTTACCCTTCATCTACAGTTTTATTGCGCAGGCACGAAGCTCAGGGATTGTCATTTATATTTCTTGAATTTGGAAAGGACATAGCTTTCTATGACAGGATCACAATTGCCATGAAACGAAGCCATGCGATCTCTATCAGAACTTGTAGAGAATTGGAAGGATCTTTGTGCGATTACATAGCAAGAGAGTATCACAAGCCAGTATTTCTTACAGGGCCTGTTTTGCCCGAGTCTGAGAAGGAAGATTTACAAGAAAAATGGGCTAATTGGCTGAAGGGATTTGAGCCAGGCACGGTTGTGTTCTGTGCATTTGGCAGCCAAGTGGTCTTGGAAAAGCAGCAATTTCAAGAACTTGTTCTGGGATTTGAGTTAACTGGTTTGCCATTCTTGATAGCTTTAAAACCACCATTTGGGACCACATCTGTCGAAGAGGCTCTTCCTGAAGGATTTGAAGGGAGGATAAGAGGCAGGGGCATTGTTTATGGAGGTTGGGTGCAACAGCCGGCTATCTTGAGCCATCCATCAGTGGGATGCTTTGTGAATCATTGTGGGTTTGGATCAATGTGGGAGTCTTTGATGAGCGATTGCCAGATTGTGCTCGTACCACACCTGGCTGACCAAATCTTGAACACTAGGTTGCTAGCTGAAGAGTTGAAGGTTGCAGTTGAGGTAGAGAGGGATAACAAAAGCACATGGTTTTCTAGGGAGAGTCTGTGCAGGGCAATCAAGTCTGCTATGGATAGAGACAGTGAAGTTGGTGGCCTAATTAGGGAGAATCATGCAAAGTGGAAGGAAGTCCTTGCAAGTCCAACCTTTATGGGAGGTTGTATTGAAAAGTTCATACAAGATTTACAAGAACTATGATTAATGATGGAAAACAATAGTGCCCTCTACCAAGTAGTTAAAGCAGAAGAAACACAGAGAGGGTAGTTGAAATGGTACTATCCTGGAACTATCCTCTCTTTAAAGCTGATTGTTCTTGTTCTCTTACAAATTAGACATCGAAAATTCAAAGCATGTCAGCAGGGTCTCTCGAATCGAAACCAACCACTATTTTGGTTGTGCTGTATTGACAGTAACACGGTATCTGCATCAAAGTAATCTGTTAACACTAGGTAATCTCCGTAATCTAATGTGTACGTTGGGATCTAAACGGTAGATAAGCAACTGTTGTAAAATTAAGAATGCAAACAGTTTAGTGCAACAAAGCCACGTCATGAGCATCTCAAACTCAATTCTTATACAACTTATCTCACCTCTAAGAATCCTCCCTCACCTTAATATGGTAAGAACAGAATCACCTTTTGTCATGGTTCGTCATATCGGCCGATACCGATACGTATCGGCCGAGTCGTATCTGGAACGGAAGGGACCGGTACGATACCGATCCCCAAATCGCGGATATCGCCATATCCGCGACGACTCGCTCTGATTCGGCCGATATTGACCGATTCGAATCCGTGATACATGATATCGGTCGATATATCCGAGTCAACTCGGAGTCGACTCCAATATTTTTTTAAATTGTGTCTTTTTCAGTATTTTCTAATTTTAGTAATTTTTTCAAAATTTTTGGAAACTTTAATGTGTTATAATGTTCATATCACCTGATATTCAACCGATATGCCGCGACGGATGTGGAACAACTGAGACCGCTATGCGACCGCGACCCGCGATGGCGATCCATGCCTTTTGTGCGCCATGTAATATACTAACCTTCAACCATTTATACGGTAGGTCACTAGCCAAGAATTCGATAACAGGAGAAAATGATTTAAGCCAATTCCTAAACTCAACAAGCAAAATATGAAATTCCTTGACAAGTGTTCCACGTAAATAGAAACAGCTAGTAAGTTGCTTGCTTGCCACTTGGAATAAAAAACTACCTACAACGGCTACAAGAAAAGGAGCCAAAGTTTCTAACAATTAAATCATTCAGCAGAAATAAAATTACCCTCCAACTAAAGCTCATACAGGTTTTGAATGAAACTCTCCACATAATTACTCATGTATCCAGGACTTGAGAGAATTTCCTTCACCTTCAAGTGACTCTTCCTGAGCGAACTCCCCACTTCACTGTCTGGACCCATTACAGCATTGATCGCGCTGCTTAGACTCTCCTTAGAGAACCAACCACTTTCGTCTCTCTCCACTTCCACTGCAACCTTAAGATCACCACAAAGCAATCTGGAATTCAAGATTTGATCACCTAAATGTGGTACCAGCACAATCTGGCAATCACTCATCAAAGACTCCCACATGGATCCAAATCCGCAGTGATTGACAAAGCATCCAACCGATGGATGGCTCAATATCTGTGGCTGCTGCACCCAACGACCATAAACCACTCCTCTTCCTCCAACCCTCTCTTCAAACCCATCAGGCAAAGATTCCTCTATTGAACCGGTCCCCAGAGGTGGCTTCAGGGCAACAAAAAATGGCAGCCCTGTTAACTCAAATCCCAGAACAAGTTCTTGAAATTGCTGCTTCTCAAGAATTATCTGGCTTCCAAATGCACAGAAAACCACTGATTTTTGCTCAAATTTTCCAAGCCACTCAGCCCACTTGCCATCCAGAGGTTGTTTCTCCTGCTCAGGCAAGACAGGGCCTGATAGGAAAACTGGCTTCTGATATTGGCCGCCAATGTAGTCACAAAATTGTCCCTCCAGTTCCTGACATGACCTTATGGCAATTGCATGACAACCTTTTAAGGCGGTTATGATTCGATCATAGAAAGTCCTGGCACCGAATTCGGAAGACATAAAGGCCAAAACCTTTGCCTCGTGTTTTCTCAGCACCACAGAGGAAGATGGATAGCCAGGAGGTGGTTCCATCAATTCTTCCTCTGTTAAAGGCCTGTCTTTAGGCATCTGTCGAGCGGGGACAAGTGCAAGTGCAATGGATGCCGCAGAAACAACATTGTAGCACACAGTTTTAAACCCAATTTTGGGAGCAAAATCTGTGATCCGAAAAGCAGTGTCATATAACACCACATCAGGGTTAAGATCACTCAGCGCAGCTTCAACTTGATCACTCATGTTGTCGAATGCTAATGCAAAAAGACTGTTCAAGAAAATTGGGATTTCAGAAGCGTTTTCCGTTCCTGGAGGAAGCCCTTCAACATGAGGGACTGGAAGGACATGAAAGGTGACAACATCAGGATAAAGATTGCCGCATTCGAGCTGAATTTTAGCCTTTTTCGTCAACAAGTAAGAGACTTTGTGGCCTCTTTTAGCTAGCTCGTTTGCCAGGTGAAGGAATGGTGTCATATGGCCTGTTGCTAGCCCTGGAAACATGGCCACATGCAGCCTTTTTCCCTCAGGACGAGGCATCTCCTCCCATGATGAAGACATTCTGATTCTGATTATTAAAAAAAATGATGTACATGAGATTTTTGGCTTATGTGTGTTGAAGCTCATGTGCATATTTATTGATGCAGCAGTCACATTCACATTTGGCTCAATTTAGTGAAGTTGGGTGGCTTTTCTAAAAGGTGGCAGAGAAACGAACGCGTCTATAACGTTTTCTGCCAACCAAAATACCGAGAATCATACAGTTTGAATCCCAAAGTAGATACAGTACTGAATAACCTACAAGACATATAATTACCCACCGGCAGAAAATGGAGTAGAAGATTGCTCAGATTTACCATAAATCCTCACTTTCTGCCTCGGAAGCCAATGCAGCAGTAAAATCTTTAAGTAAAGCAAAACAGAAATCGAATCCCAAACTTCTTTTTTTTTTTTTTGCAACTCTACAGTAAGGTGTCCATCCAAAATTCCGCAAGGATAAGATAAATTCGCAAAGCAGTTCTATGTTGATTATGGTAATCTGCCTTTCAACCCGAAGGATCCTTGGTCGTCACTATGCACTCTAAGAGGGAACAAAGACATAATTTCTCAAATTTACAGTGAAAAGGGACGTTGTAATCTGTGTCCATTGTTGTTACCAGTACACCGTCCTTGAATACATACTTAAAATCAAAACCATGCCGAGAGTTTGGGAAGAATCTTGCTTTCGTTGTTATACTCTCGCTTGCTGGATGACAACCACATTCCATTGGCACAACTAACCTCTTTCCTGGGCTTTTTAGTTGGCAAGCACACATTTCTGTGCTTCGACTGTATTTACTGTCCTCCAGCTTTTCGTCACCGACGTCGTTAGAACTGTCAGTTGCGAACAATTTCCTCACTGCTGATTGAAGACTAACAGATAAAGAGGCAATGGAATCATGAAAATCTTCTACAGTTGCAGTGCTTCCTTCAAGTCTCCACTCATAATTGAGAAGTTTTAGCAACAACTGGTAAAGATTGACCAGACACTGGGCGCAACAACGATAAATGCACACCAGAACAGCATCACTTGAACCCGTAGATATCCTTGAAGAGCAACCCAAAGAATTTTCCTTTGCATTATCAAATGGCAAACCATTTGGAGCCAAGGGCCAGCTTTCCTGGTTGCCAGTTTTCCCAGCATCAGAGAGCTCCATACCATGTTTATCACCAAAAACACCAAGGCCATCCTTAAGAAGAACAGAAGAATCTCTCTCCACAAATCCATTAGAATGCTTATTGCACTCCTCATCTTCAACAATTTCTGTAGGATTCTTGGCATCTATAAGCATGCAATGCTCATTACTAATCCCATTTTGCAGATGACTTTGCATACGTTCAACAGAGGAAGAATGATCTAGGAAACCTTGTAACGAGTCCTCCTTATGCACAGATGCATCATCCCCGTTCTGCAACCTTAAATTATCATCTGCCATAGTATGGGCACCAACATGGTTTGCTTTGACTTCCTGGGAAATTTCTCCCGGCCCCACTGGTTCATGCAAGATTTCACTGGGAATAGTTTGTTTGCAACCACTACCTTCAGGAAGACTGTCATTGCAGGTAACTTGATTGCTAAAAGATCCCGCACCAATTAGACTAGGACTTCCATTCAAGGACTGAGCATCCACCTCTAAGCTTAAGAACAAAAAAAAGGACACAAAAGAAAGTATTTAGTAAATGATAAATGATGACAAAATCGGAAATGAATCTAGATACTAAGATTCATGACAGGATTGGATTACCTCCGTAATGTATATGCCCAGCTAATAACCATATCTTCAAAATATGCCACTTGTGATAGTAGACGGAAGAATTTATATTTATCTTTACCAGCCTGAATTTTTGTTTCAACAAGTGCAACCAGAAGCTCCAGAACTTTACGAATCTCCAAGGAAAATTCCCTAAGGGATGCATATTCACCTCTATATGCTGATAAACCAACAGCAATTAGCCCCCTCACTACACCTGACTTATCTGTATTTTTAGCAGCATTGGAACTAGAAGCAACAGCAACCCCTTCAGTTGAGTTCAGAGGACGAAAAATGCAAGAATTAAATGGCCAGCCCTTCCAGGGTCCATTTATGTGAGTACAGGGACCTTGTTTCAACTTAGACGTGACCCAACAAAGCTCAGCAAAATGAGGGTATCGCAAAATCTGATAACCAAATGTGGATATTGCTGCAAGCAAGTTGGATTTCCCTTTTACAGTATTGCAAGCTGCGACTGATGGAACAGGAGCAATCGGATGCTTGCTTGAAGATTCAAAGTTTGACTTTGGACCTGAACATTGGTGTATAGCATTAAGACTAAGTTCACCAACACTGTGATATTTCTTCTGACTGGATGAGTTTGCATGAATACTGTGACGACTCAAATGAATGAAGTACTGAACTAGATCCATCAATAACTTCGTTGCAGAGGTATCAATTATGGAATCATAATTCAAATGTTGATCCACCTCCACTAAGAATCGGGGCATTGTATCTTTCCAGGGATTGGACAGAGCACAATCCAACATCTCAGACCTGAAAAATTGCTTCACTCTAGAAGGAAGCTCTACAAATGGTACTTCTGAGGTAGCCTGTTTGAAAACAATTCAGAATTTAGATGAGCTTTTTCCAGCTCTTCATTATGCAGAGACTGAAAGTTAGCTGCTAGAAGAGATTTACTGCAGACTAAGAAATACACATAGAAGCTTAACAGACAGTCAAAGTGAATAGACGACACTAAATAAAAAACAGACCACTACATTGCGTGTTCTTTCCTTGTGACATCCATGGAGATATGGATTAGGTCCAACTTATTCTTTGAAAGATTGCAGTGTAACTACTTTGTTTCACAAGATCTTAAGCTAGACCAAGACATTTTGCCTTTATCAACATAAAAGAAATTGATATTTACTTATGAAAGGGATTCAGCAACTAAAGAACTACAAGCAGACGTACCAGAATCATCAATGGTGTACGTACACAGATAGATTCGAACTGCTCAACAAATGAGTTCCATAGACATGAGACATTTTTGACAGCACCTTGGGACTCTGAATTCCCCGCAAACTCCACAGTTGCACTCTGGCTAGAGGAAGGGGAAGCAGTTTGTCCGTCACAAGACTGAATACATGTCTCTACTGCCCATAAATCAATCCTTGGCAGAAATAACATGCATGAATCCAAACTGGCACATCTCACTGCATCAAGATGAATAAGTTCAAAAGACAAAGTTATACAAGCATCAAAATGAATAAGTTCATCCCATTGTTTTCCAGTACAGGCAATTTGGCCAAATTTGTTAAATTTTATACACCACCACAAGCACAAAATGGATCACAGGCATGTAAACCTCATCCCTTAAAACATTAATAGTTAAAGCTGCAAACTTAAAAATTAACCAATATCATACATGAATGAGAATAAGGCTAGATTCAATCAAGCGCTAGAGGGTCTTTAAACAATCAGGACAGCTGGTTACTAGAGCTTTGGTTATAATTGACCTCCTAAATTTCCTATAAATCAACCATAAGGCAAACTCATAATCAGCTAATACAAATAAAAGTAGCAGATTTGCTTCCTAATCTATGTGAAGACACAAGATGCACAGGCAAGGCAATTTTCAATCTAGTAGACCCGAAAATCTCATAATACAGTTCTATTTACCTAAATCTCAGTAAAGATGTCAGTAAAGAAACATACTCAGTATTAGTGTTAGCCCATTAACCACATCTCCATGCCCTTCCTGGGACAAAGTAGCCAAGTCAAGCTTTCGTATTTCAATATTGCCAGAAAAACAGTGGAGAACACAAGAAGCAAGATGCCTCTGGCCACATCTGGCTTCCCCAGAAATCAAAATCCTAAATCCTGATTTAGTTCCTGGTTGATAGGACATGGTATGAAGCAGGCCAGGGTGAGCATATACACACTGTGCCCTTGAAGGTTTAAACTTTAAGTATCTGTCATCAGCAACATCTTCCAGGGGATCAGAACAGTTCATAGCATCTGTTAGAACGGCAGCACTTGACAGGCTATCCTGAATCTTACCAACAATATCTGCATCTTGAAGAAAATCATGAAGATGCGAGCACCAGTTATCACCCACTACTTTCTTCTCATCCAAAGCAGAAAGAACCACATGTTTAATTACTGTTGCAGCTTTATAAAGAGGTGGTGGCAACCACACATGTTCATCCAAATAAAGGGAAACAAGCAATTTGGACAGTGGTTGTAGCAGACAAGGAATAAGATGGGCCGGAAGAGGCGAGGTTACCAAATCATTTGCAGCAATTCCAGCTTCTCTGCGGGAACAAGGAGGTGGTGCTGATGAAAGAGCATCTAACCAATCTCTCTCTTCAACAGTGAAAGATGGGAGACGAGGGAGTCTATCCAAACAGGCATTGTCTCCAGCACCAGATAGAAGTTCATGCAAAGGATAGTTCCTCCTCAAAGCAATAATGGCAGCTTGAGTGCAAAGAGCCTGCAGATCAGCACCAGCAAATCCCACAGTTCTCCTTGCTACCCACTTAAGTAATGAGCCACTAATTTGTTTGGGCCATTTCTGAGTGTGTAGTGCCAGAATTGCCTCTCTGTCCTCTGTCGATGGCAGTGGGAAATAAATCTCACGGTCAAACCTTCCTGGCCGCCTTAAAGCTGGATCAATAGCATCAGGACGATTTGTTGCACCTATTACAACAACTGAACCTCGAGATTTTAAACCATCCATTAAAGCAAGCAAAGTAGAAACAACTGAACTATGTGTCTGGTCTTGCTGTCTAGTACGGCAAGGGGCCAAGCCATCTATTTCATCAAAGAAAATAATTGAAGGCTGAGACTTTTCAGCAACCTGAAAAAGAAGTCTCAGCTGACGCTCAGCATCCCCAACATATTTTCCCAAACAATCCGCGCCTTTGCGAGCAAAATATGCAATTCTTTTATCACCACGAGAACATGAACCAATTAATGCCCGTACAACCAACGTTTTGCCTGTCCCAGGATATCCATGCAACAGAACTCCTCTGGGAGGTGTAAGCCCCAGGCTACCAAAAAACTCGGGGTATAACAGTGGTAGAATGACCACTTCCTTCATGCATCGTATGACATCACGAAGACCAGCAACAGATTCCCAACCCTGAAACTGAATCTCACTGTCACCGCTTGAG